CGTGGCTCCCACACCAGGCGGAAGTGACGAAGAACCAACCGCAGGCTGCCTTAGGAAACCCCGTCAGCTTCCACCCCGTGGCAATGACAGTGCTGCTGTCACACCAGGGGGAGGAGGCCTCGCCGACCGCACTTACTCCAGTGCCCGTTGAGCCCGCCGTTCTCATCTGACTCAGTTTTCCGCCGGGGGCGAGGCGCGAAGGCCACTGCTCCACAAGTGCCCAGAGGACTGCGGGCTCTGGCATCGGTGACACGGGGGGAGGTGGGGGGGATGTTACCACTCCTTTCTATTCCCTGGTTTTCTTGTTGGCAAATGAGGATACAAATGGCTCCTATGTCACAGAGATACCCTGATGGCCCAACGGGGTTGCACAGGCACCTCACAAAAGGCCTGGGGTACAAGAGGCTCACGCGAGAGTTCAGAGCGTCATTCTACTATATATGCTGCTGCCCATGCAACTGCATTACTGACTCATTACTGTCTTCCCCACGGCAGGCTCCAACCGGAGGTCCCCAGCATGGAGACCGTGCTCCAGAGCACATACCTCACTGGCTCCTACGAGTCACATCTTACATGGGGGGGGTTCAGTTCCCCCTTCATCTCACAAAGCAGTGTAGCCAAGTCGCTCTGAGCAAGGCATCACAGTGGTGAGACTGCCAGACAGACACCTCAGGCCGACGCACCCCATTTTACCCTCAGATCAATTTTACTCCTCAGATGGGACTGTCCGCATCGATGACTGTTTCTTTGGCTAAGCTACAGACAAATGGACTGGGTTGCATGTAGAAGCCAGGTTTTGTGAGACGCACTTGCTTTTAAGCTGGAATAGCACTCCCTGTAGTAAGAGAGGAGGCGATGTGGGATGGGGGCTTACCAGGAGAGGGACAGGTACACGTCTCCCGTCTCACACTTCCTCTGAAGCGATGTCAACTTAAACGAATCCAGTTCCTCATTCACAGCGGCCATATTTCAAGGACTTAACAGTTGCCTGTGCCTAATGGCTACCGTCCTGGACAGCACAGACCCAGAATACTCCCCTTGCGGCAGAACATCTAGCGTCTGATAGGCAGCACTGCGACGCAGACACTCGTTGGCAGAATCTGCCTCGGGTCCATGGGTATGTAACTTCACAACATGGTTACTGTCCCCAGGCAGATTCAATGATAGGAAGGGACAGAATGCAGGCCCTCAAGTGTCTGGTCACGTCACACACCTGACGATTAAGAACATACAGAACGACACCTGCAGGAGGGAGAACAGGGGCGCTGGCTGATCACACAAAGAGCCTGTCTGTGAAGAACTGGGGGAGTCAGATGTCGGGCTAACTTTCCCAGGGACGCACTGCAATCATTTAGCAGAGAACCGGTATACAGTCAGCCCTGACCTCTCTCTGCTTTGCAAAGGAAGTAAGACAAGTGTTTTGAAGCCTGATAACAAAAGGGGGCACAAGGATACTGAGCCTCAGATCTGCTTCTAGCATCATTTTATAGCCCTGAGGCAATCCCTTCCTCTTTCCTTATTCTAGTGTTCAACCGTAATGGCAATTATCCATCAGCACCCTCGCTGTTCTGAAGCCTTCAGGAAGCCCATAAAAAGTGTAGGCTTTTAACTTGCACTGCAAGTTAAAAACAGTATGTTTCAGCCCTTATCTATTTCTACATAGAGTTGGTGATATCCCTCAAATCTTCAGGGTTGAATTTGGAGGAAGGATAAAACTAAATTGTAAACTAGGGCGCCTGGGTGGCTTAGTCAGTTAAGCGTCCGACTTTGGCTCAGGTCATGGTCTCGCGGTTTGTGAGTTCGAGCCCCGCCTTGGGCACTGTGCTGACCGCTCAGAGCCCGGAGCCTGCTTCAGATTCTGTGTTTCCTTCTCTCTCTGCCCCTCCCCTGCTCATGCTCAGTCTCCCTCTGTCTCTTAATAAATAAACGTAAAAAAAAAAAAAAAAAAAAAAAAGACTAAATTGTAAGCTGATGACAAAATGGCGTTCTCATTACGGACAACTTTGCGCTCAACGAGAATTGATCTGCCGTGTGGTCCGTGCTGTGTGTTCCCTTCCCCTCTCTGGGGTCTGGGTCTACCTCTGCCTAATGTCAACCTCACAGTGATGGCTCCCACGGTTCCAATGTGGGTGAGGGGTGTGGTGGCAATAGCACTGGGGCAGCAATCAGATCTGAACCCCGGGAGAGGCTGCTAAAGGAACGTGGTTGAGAGTGCAGGCTCTGAACTCAGAACCTGGACTCCAATCCCAGCTCCACCACTAACCAGCCAGCTACTTAACCTACCACTAAATAGGAATGGTCACATGAGACCGTTCACATCGAGATCTCAGAGCACTCAGAACTTAAGTGCACAATAAATGAAATGTGAGTTAATACAATCACCGGTCCCAGCACCAACGGGTTCACCATTTGGAGCCTCAGCTCGTTCACCCATGAGGTTAGGTGACCATACAAGCCCTGGATGAGGACTGAAGTCTCACCCACCTCTGACATCTTAAGGAACTGTACAAAGCAGGTTTAGTCACTTAGGAGTGTGTTGTGGGATCCTTCAACTCACTGTCAAGTGGGAAGCACCATGTCCTGCTCGACTGTGGCACAGCAGAGCAATGGGATTCCTCTCCTAGAACAGATGGGCATGCCCTAAACACAGCTTCCAGCCTGCCTGGTTTTGTGCCATTAAAGGGAGTGTGAGTTATTCTTCCGGTGCCAGCCCCTGATCTCCATGGATGCTCCACCCCACTCAAGAGAAGGGTGTCCCTTATCAGAGACAATAAGCCCGAGGAGGAAAGAAGTCAGATGACCTGCCTGCGCCCTCCCAGCTCTGAGTCTGACATCCCCTCTTCCTCTCTCACGTTAACCTGGGGGACATATGGTACATCGTGATAGGACTTAAGTGAGGTCAGATGTGCTCTACTCTATGATAAGCATTAGGTGGAAACAGTGACACAAGCTCCTGCGATTAGAATCTTTTCTCAGATTAGACAGAGATGTTCCACTTCAGCATGACATTTTAAAAGCAATCTAAAAACTTGCCCTTGTGTTTGCTACAAAGGATATACACAATAAGCGTGCCTAACAAAAATATCTCTAAATAGAGATTTTTTAAAGTGGCAAAACTTTTCTCTTAAGGCCAGGATCACAGGGCTATCCTAGCTGGACCAGATACCACAAGCGAACCCCAAATAAAGCCTGACATTGGAGAAAGATAATGAGGGGGGTGGGGAGAAGGCAAGAACAGTAAGCCTCACACTAATAATGCAGGGGGAAGGGGAAGACAAGAGGACCCAACCAAATTAGCACAAATAGCCCCAAGGGCTCAACAGCAGGGATGCCATCATGCAAAGTGTGGCCAGCTAGCTTCAGCTAATTCCAGACATGGGAATCATGTACTTAGGAAAGATGTGGGAGTAACCAAAACCTCTTCTAGCACTAAATGTCTTCACTCGGAATTAAAGCCCTCTGGAAAGAGAAACTCCAGAAGGTAGAGATCTCAAAGCAGCCAACCAGGAATATCCTCTCCCTTCTCTCTCCCTGCTCCCCCACAAGCGCACCCCATACAAAGAGGAACACTCCCACAGCGCACTCCCAAACAGCAAGGCAGCGCCCTCTGTAGCAGCTTGGCTGTGGCATGTGCAGAAATGGGGGACTGAGGACAACTCAGCTAGTCCACGTGATTAGTCAAGAGGGCTCCAACGGTATTACAAAACATGTTCCCTTTGGGTTAAGAGACACTAAAAATGTGACCTTTTGACTGCTGAAGCACCAGGGGGCAAACGACCATGTTCAGAGATGGAACTGACTGGGATTCTGGAGCCTGTGGTTTTAGACCGGCAACCGAAAGAGCTGACGTGTGCACAAGAGAAGACAAAGCACTTTAGAGAACACACACTTACAGAAATATGCTGGACACCTACAGCCAGCCCTATGTCTGGAAGCTCTTCCTGCTGTTTCGTTGTGCTCAATGCTGGTGCAGCCCACCTGTGTTACTCTGAATGTCTAGAAATGTACCTTTAAAATTAATACCAGCCTTGGACACAATATGTCATTTCATTTAGGGGGAGTATAAATTTAAAAAAATACAAAAGCAAGGAAAACAACTTACATGTCCCACACCAAAGGAGTAGTTTAGTAAATATGATCCACTAATATAATAGAATATTATATGGTCATGAAAATATTTATGAAGGACACGTATATTCATGACATAATATCAAATAAAAAGCAAAAGACAAAGTTTCCTGTGTATACTACGATTGCAGCTATTTTTAAAAGCACCTACGAGGATGAACACAGAAAATAAAATGCAAAAAAAAATTATTTTGTTAAGTCAGTGGGATATTTGGAATTTCTTCTTCAATCTAGACATTCTTGAAATGTTTCTACATTAACTTTTTTTTTTTTGAGCAGTAGTTTGGTAGAAATTTCAAATCAGGCTCAAAGCACCTGTGCCAAATCACAGAAGTTTAGACTTGAAAGAAGTCTTCGCAATCTGGTACCCTGCACATCTATCTTCTGGCTGAGGAAACTGAGGCCTCGGGAGGGTTCCCCAGGGACCCACAGTGCACAGCTAATTAACACCACTGCCCCTTGTCATTGTAGCTGCAAGATGGAGGGATGGGAGGGAGCACAAGCTGCTGAGAAGCCACTCTGTTCGGACCTGGCAGCTTCATGCTTGACAGGGTTTGGCTGCTTGGAATGTTCCACAGCTACGCATTCCAGTCCAAACAGGCCTTTTAACTGATAAGGCTTTATGTTATTACATCTTCAACAATAGGTTTCTGAAATTTTCATATGTAACCGAAGGAAGATGCTTCACGTGGGAAATGGCACAGAGAATTAGTTCAAAGCACTGAAGGACAGGTTAATGCCTCATGGAACCCAAAGGAACTACTCTTTCTACACTTCTGAACTCCCTCTGACACCAGCCTCTTCCAGCCTCTCCTCCTTGCACATAGGTGACCTGCGAAGTCTGCAATTGAAACATAGGGGCTGGAAAGAAATACTGTTTCATATGAAATCGCAACACAATGAACACCATTCTCTGATGCATGTATTTTCCCTTCCCCTCCTGTCCAAGAGTCTGAAATTAAGCACCAAAGAGTAGACACAGAAGTCTTTGCAAAAAGGGGGAGAGTGGCGAGAAAGTCGAATTCCCAGTGCAAAAAAAATTGAGTCTGGACCAAATTCCCCTGCTTCCCTTGGTGGGTGGAGGGTAAGGAGGAGGAGGAAAAAAGACAAGAAAACACTATAAATAGCAATAAAATAAGCTGCTATTAAAATGTACGGGTGTAATAGAAAACAATCAGTTCCAGCAAAGTTCTAAAATCATACACCAAATAACCTTATGCAGCAAAGATCTGAAAGTACAGGAAAAAAACAAAAACAAAATAAAGTCACATAAATGCATTTAAGTTGGTGCTGCAGTGAAATGTCTCTCCTGAATCCCACAATCACTTCACAGTCTCCAGGGAAGGGAAAAGAAGCCCGGGTGTTCAGAGATGAAAAGGCTGCATCATTTAATAGGCTGACGATGCAATGCTAAGTCACAATAGATCACAGAAAGGGAAATAACTGAATGCACTTGCAGATCAAAAGCAGCTTGAGTCCTTTGAGCATCATGCTGTAGAAGGGAGATGAGACCCACAGACAGAGTCAGGAAAAGCAAAGCAAAATCCAGGAGACATCTAAGGATAGCATGAGGTCTATGAATCAGAGACTCCTGGCTCCTGCAGGGCGCGGTGGAAAGAAACCTGGCAGGAAGCAAGACATATGCTACCGGAGGCTAAGCCAGGTTTGAGAAGAAAATGGGGCCAGGACAGGAATCAGGCCCAACATCACCGCCCCAGCTCTCTGGGCAAGGACAAGCTGGTGTCTAGGCAGTTAGAGCACATTTTGCCTAGACAGACCTACCTTTTCTAGAGAAACCACTTTGAAAAAAGCCAATTATTTGATCCCATCCTTGCTTCCAGCACCCTTTGGATTCCAGAATCAGAACACTGAGAGTTGACATTATACACTGTGCACATGAAGGCTGGACTTCAATCCTTAGAGGTAACCATCCACAGAGGAACACACGTATCTGTGTTGAAGAATGAGAGTTGCAGGCAGAAGATAGGAACAAAATCCAGAGCATCTTAGCGCACATTAAGGCAACTTGCTAGAAAAGCAAAGATACACTACAATTGTTTCCTTTTCAGTTGCTCTAGGGCAGCAGTGGCCTGTAGGTAGCTCTGGGCACTGGATTAGCTGCTGAGTGGGCTTTTTCTATAGGCTGGACTACAGAGGGCCAGAAGGTCTGCCAAACAAAGGCTATAAGGAGAAGTCAGATTCTTGGCTGCCATCAACTTGCTAGGGTTGGCAAATGCAAGCAGTCCACTCGTTGCCTGGCTCTTCCCCAGCCCCACCCTGCAATAAATCCTCAGACAGAATATGCCCAACATTAAGTCAGAAGGTTTGGTTCCTCAGCTCTAGTGACCTCCTTCCATACAAAGATTCAGGACGCTGAGCTTCACCCACATCCTTGAAATGAAATGAGAAAGAGAACTGCAGGTGGCTTGAAGAAATCTGTTCCATGACAGGCATCAGTCTGTTCCCCTGAGACAGTTCACTCTGGGACAGGCACTAGTCTGTTCTTTGAAGAGACATTCTAGGACAGGAGCCAGTCTATTCCTTGAGCAGATGAGTCTGAGATAGGCACTGTTCAGTTCCCTTGAGAAAGTCCTAGCTGGTAGAGCCACCAGTCTATTTCCTTGAAAGGTCCATTCTGGGATGGGCACTAGTCTATTTTTTGGAGAAGGACCATTCTAGGATAGGTACTAGCCTGTTCCCTAGGAAGCCCATTCTGTGGTAAGCAATGTCAGTTCTATTGAGAAGACCATTCTGGGGTTGGCACTTTCCTTAAAGAGGTCCTTTCTAGCACAGGCACTAGGCTGTCCCTTGAGGTCCTTTCTAGCACGGGCACCAGGCTGTCCCTTGAAGAAGCCCGTTCTGGGATAGGCACTAAGTCGTTCCCTTGAGGAGGCCCATCTGGGATAGGTACTCATCTGTTCCGTGGAAGAAGCCCATTCTAGAATAGGCACTAGTCCGTTCCTTTGAAGAGGGTTTATTCTGGGATAGGCACTAGGCTGTTACCTTGAAAAAGTTCATTCTGAAATAGGCACTAGTCTGTCTCCTTGAGACTGGTGTCTCAAGTCCTTTCTAGGGTAAGAACTATTGGTCTTGCTGAGGAGACCATTCTGAGATAGGCACTAAGCTGTTCTCATGCGGAGGCTGATCCGGGATGGGCAGTAGTCCGTTCCCTAGAAGAAGTCTGTTCTTGGATAGGCACTAGACTGTTCTTCTGAGGAAGTTTATTCAGAAATACACACCAGAATGTTTCCTCAAGTAAGTCCATTTTGAGATAAGCACTATCAGCTCTATTGAGGAGACCATTCTGGGATGGGAAGTAGTCTGTTCCCTTAAAGAGGTCCATTCTAGGTAGGCACGATACTATTCCCTGAGGAGGTCCATTCTGGAATAGGCACTAGTCTGTCCCCCATGTCTAACCTCTACTGCCCTTCTCTTGTCAACAGTTAACCCATAACATCATTTCTGATCTTCCACACTATGAGTAAATGCTAGATAACTTTCACACCATTTATCCCTAAAACACTCCATTCTGGTTCAATTTAAAAATCATACAGGCCTATTTTTATTCCAAAGATAGAGCCTTGGACTGGATAATTTAAGAAGTTCCCAGGGAAGTCTCAATATAATAAGTCAAGATAATTCTTTTCCCAAAATAACACAATTTTTAAAAATAAAATAAAAAGCCCAACATAGCCAAAAAGTAACATCTAGATTCAAGTACTGTGATCTGGAAAGAAGTTGCAAATCTCCTAGAAATTTACATTAGGTATTATAGACCAATTTATTCAGGGGTTCTCTATTCTATCAACTCACAGAACCTACCAAAAAAGAAAAAAAAAAGGAAAAATTGATTTTTATTTTAAAATGTACATCGGTTTCCACCAACAGCAAATAGAGTAATATCTTGTCTCTTAACTCACACTCCGGGGCGTGTGGTCAGGGAGGAGAAATAAAACACAAAGGTAAAAATCAAACACCTAGATTAATCAGTATACATTTTCTAAGAAACACATTTAGTAAACGTCTAGAAGGGTATCATATAGGCCCAACATGAAATCTAAGCAATAGATTGTCACACTGGAAAAGGATTATTCGAAAACACAAATAAACATGTAGTGGCTATCAAAGTAACCTATACTCATATGCATATGGTTGAAATGGCTCTCTTTTACACTGTTACCTTATTTTACCCCAAGGACATGGGATAGTAATTGTACATCTTTACTATGAATTCTGACCACCACTGTAGCATTTTACGCCATATCTACAAATAAACTTGTGTTCTCCTTCCCATGCCCTTTCGAGTACATATACAATCAATTCACTTCACCGTCTGGCTGGGCCTCAACTACGCACCTGAGACATCAGGCCGTGTTCCCCGCTCACACACTACAACTGTTTCAGTACACCAGGCTCTCCCTCAAGAAAGCCCTGAGGACTGGGTGCCCTTTGGGGAGGAAAAAAAAAAAAAAAACCAAAGCAATTATCTCGTCTTCTACTCACATGTCAGGCAGACCAGCACAGTGCGCACGAACAGGTCTACCACCAGCTCGCAGTGCTCGGGCACGCGGGACACGAAGAAGGGGATGATGATCTCGGCCGGGACGTAGAACTGGAGGGCGTAGGTGAAGAAGATGCCAATGGAGTAGAGCAGCTTGACCGACTGGTACAGCCTGCAGAGAGAGAGCCGAGACCCATTCCAAAGCCTGCTCTGTGCCACAGCACTAGCAGTGAGGGGGCAAGACGGTCTCGCCGTGGCCATGTCTATCCAAGTCACCAACGCGCATGTCCTTCAGACCCAGCAATTTCATGTCGAGGCATTTACCCTGCAGATACACTTGCACGTTGTGTAACATTTTTCACTCCAAGTATGTCACTGTCGCATTGTTTACGTATGGAAGGCTGAAAACAGTTGAAATGTTAGCCAGTGGGGAACTAGTTACATCATAGGGTCCCATACAGCTGTGAAAAAGTAGGAGGCAGAACTACAGGTGCTGATACGGAACCAGCGCCAGGATACGTAAGTGAAAAATGCATGAAGCAGGACAGTGCCTACAGTGTGCTACAAATTGTCCAAAAAAAGGAAAAAGAAGGAAAAAACACTCCCTCCCCGCCCCACACACACATGCATATGACATTCTTACATACTCTAACCATCCCCAAAAGGAAACACAAGAAATCGGGAATGTGGTTGCCTCTGAAATGGTAAACTGTAAAACTGGGGACTTGGGGAAGCAAATGGAAACAAACATATTCTGTCTACACTTTGAACAGCTGGAATCTTTACCATGGACATATAACCTTTCAAAAACCAAAACAATTAAAAATGCAATTAAAGCGTAACAGGCCTTTTTCTATCCTTCCCCTTCAATTCCCTGTTCCCTAGAATCAGAAGGGGACCACATGACCAAGAAGCAAGAGCAAAACCCATCTTCCCACACCACTGTGGCTGTCTTCCTACCATGTGTGGCTTCCTATCATGTGTGGCTCCTCAGGGAGACGGTTAACTCACCAACAGATAGCTCTGTCTTATCTCTTGCCTAGAACTGTGCAGAGTAGAAAACAAGCCTGATCCATAAGTACTCATGGATCTGAAATGATCAGTCCAGGGAAGGCTACCCTGCCCCTTAGCAAAAGCTCCCCTTCAAGCAAGACCTTCATGCCTTCAGCAGCAAGAAACACTGGCCTCCCCCACCTTGTTGGAAATCTATTTAAAAGTGGTGATTGCATTGTGTATATTGTGCATGGAGTTTCTCTGTGGTTGAACTTAATGCCTAGAAGATGTTCTGATGCTATAAACAGGAGAACATCCTGGGAGAGACTGAGTTTGACAAAAGGTCTTACTTGCTCCAAGAATAGATAATAAAAACGCTTTGGAAAAATCAGCTGGTGCCTCTATAATTAAACTCGGTACAACACCAAAGCCTTCTGGAGTGCTGGGAAGTCTGGAAGCAGGATCGTCACCTGCAGGGACGGCTAAATAAATCGCGCCTGAATGGAGGCAGAAAGATGAGAGTAGCTGGGTTTGGAGTGTCAAAGGGACGATGACAGGTGCTCATCCACGGCTTTAGATTATGTGGGCTGCTTCTGCTGTTCCTGATCCATTCATCTTCAGTTATGCCAACCTACCACCTGGCTCTTGAAAGGGCAGGAACATTTGGAAACTTAAAAGCAGGCATCAGAGCGAAAGGGAAAGACTTTCTGAAAACAACAGCCCATTGCAGGACTGCCACTTGGCTGGCCACACCACAACCCTTGTCCCCAGACCCCTGCTGATTAAGGGCACCCTGGGCTAAACACTGACGACACAACCGAATAAACACTCTTCTCAATTTTTTCAACCTGCCTTTGTACAATGCCTCGCTGATCAGAGCTCTAACAACATGCACAGGCAGGTCAACCAGGGCAGCCTGAAAGGTTCCCTGGTCCCCAGGGCACTCAACAAGCTTCTCAGTGTCTGCTCAGCTGCCCTCCACAATGAAATTTTCATCTTCAAAACAGAACTGTTGCTTCAGACACACCCTGCGACAGCTACCTTTTCAGGAAGCATTTCAGTATGTCTCAGTGTTTCCCTGCAAGATAGTAACCAAGAGTTAAGCAAAGTGAGGTACAGAAGGGCTCCCCACAGCCCCAAGTCCACTGTGAGAGGCCTCCACCCACTCATCAAGCCGGTGACTGCCACGGGAGAGGCACAGCAGAAGCTGGGAACCCAGCCTATTCGCCCTCTTTTCTCCCTGTCTGGAATGCTTGAGGTGAACCGATGGGATGCTTGGCCCTTCCAGGTTCAGATTTCTAGGGAGAAATGGCATACTACCTGATCAACCAATCCATGTGGCATACGCCTCCAGAGGAGTCCCTCCTCTAAACAAAGAAGAAAGCTCAGGGCAGACTTCTCCTTCTGATCGCACCAGGAGAGTATGACGAAGCACTTTCTCACACATAGCATTTGGTCTTCCTGACAATCCTGGAAGAAATGACTACTCCTGGTTCCCCAAAGTGGGAGCTGAGGCAGTGAGCAGCTGTGACCTGTCCAAGGCCACAGAGGTGAACATGGAAGAACGCCCCTACCCTCTATGCCCCAGTTGCTCCCTGAAAACATCTCTTCACAACATGCCTCACAGTTCTAGCATTTAGTCCTCCTTTTTGTTCAAAAGGCACCTACTGGGTGATGATCGTGTGCCAGGCGTTGTGCCGGGGGCTGGGGTAGAATGCAGAGCTTACGGTGGAGGGAGATCACAGTGCAGGTAAACAGAACATTATAGCGCTTTGGAACAGGAATTAGGCTAGGGTCCGAATGGGATCCTGTAAGAACAGAGTGAAGGGGCATCTGACCTAGCCTGGAGGTTGTGGCGGGTGGAACAGCAGAGAAAGTTTCTCAGAAAGAGTGGCTCCTTGACTAAGTCTTCCTCACGGACTAGGAAGGAGGTGCAGGCAGGGCTAGAGCCCGAGTGGTCCTGACAGGGACGTTGCAGATTTTTGTCTCTGCTGGAGGAGCAAAGGGAGGCCCCTGAGGACTCTCGCCAAGGGAATGCACCCATGACTGGAGTCCTGGCTCGTACAGGGAATGGGAGAACAGACCCGGAGAAGGATTAAGGCTAGGACAGGCAGATGGGTCAAAGGGCTCAGTGGGGGGCCAAGGAGGGACGGTGCTGGCTGGGGGCAGGGGCGGGGGTAAGTAGGGGGTGGCAGTGGTGGGCTAAAGTGAAGTAAGCTGATTTAAGGGGTGACTAGGAAGAAAATCCACGTTCTGACCCATGAATTTAAAAAAACATCCAGGGGTATCCAGGTGGCTCGGTCAGTTAAGCATCCGACTCTTGATCTCGGCTCAGGTCATGGTCTCACGGTTCGTGAGATCGAGCCTCACATCAGGCTCCGCACCGACAGCATGAAGCCTGCTTGGGATTCTTTCTCCCCCTCTCTTTCTCTCAAAATAGATAAGTAAACATTTTAAAAACTACAAACTAAATGAAACAAGCGTCCTGGGCTCCCATGCTTCCATCCTTCCCCACGTACCAACAATTGGGCAGGTTGAGGGTTATGCTGCCTTGGATGTTAGCTCCAAACTGCAGGTACCCCAGGCACCCCAGACTGATGTACAGGGCGGTGATGATGGCCATTCCCACGTACAGGATGACCGGAAATTTCTGAGGATCCTTCATTTTGTTTTCAAGGGGCAGAACCTATAAGAGTAGTGAGAAAGAAGAGAAAACACAGGAAAAAGGAACATTAATGGTGAAAAACAAAACTGTAATGGGCTCAGAAATAACTGCTTTAGCCCCAGGAGACAGAAACAAATCCAAGCTATTTCCTCAGAGCTGGAGGAGAGGCAGAGCCCACTGTGTGAGCCGGGAAGTGCGGGGAGGCGAGCGTGGGCCGGACTGGGACCAGGACCCCTGCCCAGGCCAGTGCTCTGCCTCCGGCTGCAGGAGCCCCATGGGCAGGGGGGGGTGCTCTCTGCCCCTCAGCACAGCCGCACGGCCGCCGGCAGCCCTCCCACCTCATGCCCACCCGGCACAATGGGGAAAAGACCTCGCCTGAGACCACGGTTCTGCTAACCTGTCCGAAGAATGCAAAACACAGGTCAGGGAACACTGCCACTCTAGTTCCCGGAAACTTCACAACCTGCTACCACCTGCACCTGGCCGGGCTCACAAGGAAGAGTGACAGTGTCGAGCTGTCCCACAAACCATCTTTGATCTTGTCATGACACTCATTTTCCTTGAACGCTTGCGGTCACGAGGCAGAGTGGGTCTGTGCCAGACATACCCCGGCGGGCAGGGAGGGCCTGCTGCAGGCCCGGCGCCGTGAGGGAGCCACAGCCCTGCACTTCCAACCGGCCCTCAACACCACCCCCCCTCCCCCACCAGCGCAGGGGGCCTCCAGCTTCGGCTGATCCACATCCGGTTAGAAACAGTTGCTAAGCTTGCTTCCGGTTACCTTTCGTGGACAGTCTAGAGAGCCAGAGGGCAGGCAGCCCATCTCCCCCATGTCTGCCAGGCCTGGGCCAGTGGCACAAACACAGAGCCTACCATGAACAAAGAGTGAGCAGGGGCCCTGCACCCACACACGCTCAACAGCCCTCAAATCCAAAGTAAGAGTCGAAACACAGAGAAATCTCAAGCAACAGATAATAATGATCACAGGATGACTCCACATCCAGGCCTTGGCTAATGAAAGGAAGCAAAGAACAACGTCTGCACTGTGCTGCCAGGGAAAACTGGTAAGTTCCGCACAATGCTCCTTCAGAACCAGGATCTCCAGGCAGCTTTCCACATTTACTCAATCTCTTCTTTCCAGTCCCAAGCACTTGAGAGCTCGTTTCTCACTGCTACAATACGGGGTTCTGTTTGTGTTTGTGAGTCAAGGTGAGACCATCTTCCTGGGCAGCGAGAAGCTCCAAGAAAGAGCAAAGGGAAAGGTGTAAAACCTCGGGACAACAACTTACACACTGATCCCTCAGAAAGTCTCCCCCGTGATGTTAGGGCCTTAACACATCGCACCAATCCCACCAGGGCAACTCCTTAGTATTTTGACGAAAGAATCGATCCAGCTTCTAGGTTTTCTTAAAAGTATATCAAGTGACAGGGAAACCAAATGGGGATAAAAAGATATTCCATGAAAGGAAAAGTGTCTTCTTCCCTTTTCCTAAGCTGTTGGCCAACAGTACTACTAATTTTCTTCAAGGAAGAATTCTGGAACTTTATTATGAAAAAATATAAATAAAAATCAAATTAGGTGCAAATGAGTGGCAGATTCCTCTCTTTAGGAGAAGAACTTGGTGAAATCATAGCAATGGTGGGGGAAGCTAACTAGCAGTGAGAGCTAAGGCCATCTATCTACACACAAAAAAATATAGCACACCAATGTTCCAGGGCAGAGACATTATTTGTGCAGCTACTGATTTAATTCTAAAATCAATAGTATTATTAATAAAAATTATTAAATGCTTAGTGTGTGTCAGGGGCTACGCAAAGCACTTTACACACATCTCATTGAATCCTAACAACTACTAATCATTAAGTTCACTTTTCAGAAGCGAACAACAAAGAAGTTAAGTCCTCACACAAGGTCACACAGCTGTTCTCTGGGAGAGCCAGGACTCACCCCCAGTCAGTCTGACTCTAGACCCTGCTCTCCCAATTGCCATGTATTATTGCTTATTGCCCACATAGGTGATAAATATGCAACAGAGAGGGTTTGAAGGCAAACATTCTCAAATCACATACAATTTGTTTCCAAAACCCCAATGGAATCCCTGCATTGCTGTTCAGGAGCTGGCCGATAAGTTTCAGAAGATAATTTCTAACAGCATTTCCTCAGCCTTCCAAAGAGCAGACCTCAAGGACACCAAGGGCGACACAGAATCACAGCGAAACTCTTACCATCCCAATGCCTTCAAACGCAAAAATGGCCGTGCCAAAGAACAGAGGGTAGGTCTTCCAGGGAGCCACCAAGGGGAGGCGGCTGGGGTCTGGGATATTCTGAAAGAGAAAATAAAACAAAGCAAAGGCTATACAGAGATTCGAGATTTGAACTCCAACATCAGACAGGTCATAACCTTTTCCTAGATTCAAGATCCTCTAAAAGGAGAAAGTCTGACGCCTGACATGGTTCGGGGACATTTAGTCTTTGTATTTTTTTTCCCTTCAGGCTTAGAAAACCCCTATTTGCTTTGGGGAAAGACTATATCCCAGTGTACTATAAAAAACTCAAATGCTGGAGCTTGCATAAAAATAGTCACATTCTTTCATTAGGTAATCCCATCCCCAGAAATTGAATCCGAGTAGAGAAAAAAAATCAAAATATACATGCTTATTTATTTTTGAGAGACAGAGAGAGAGAGAGAGAGAACGTGAGCAGGGGAGGGGCAGAGAGAGAGGGAGACAGAGGATCTGAAGCAGACTCCAGACTCCGAGCTGTCAGCACAGAGCCCGACGTGGGGCTCAAACCCACGAACCGTGAGACAATGATCTGAGCCGCAGTCGGACGCATAACCAACTGAGCCACACAGGCGACCTGATTATGCGCAATTTTTGAAGTAAAAATTGAGATAACTAAGAGCACATGAAAAACCGCTTATGAAATGATAGTGAGAACATTCACTTTTAAAATTTGCACATTCACTATAATGCCACTACGTAAACACTCCACATGGATAAAGCTGCTTTTCTCTTTCTTTTAATTCTTATAAAAGAGTTTGAACACCTGAAAAATTTTATTGATACACACATGATAGGAGTATTGGAACATTAGGGATAAAATGGCAAAAAAAATAAAAAGCCATTTAAAATTATAGGCAGATGAAAACCATAGCACTTGTTAACTGCAGGTTAATGGAGGTGCAGACACAGAATCCTAGCTGGCTCACCACTGAACAACGGCCCCCAGTGACGGAGCATCAAAGGAACAGGACTCAACAGGGACAGGAGCTGTCCTTTCAGAATGCAGCTTTTGAAACCACGTGAATCCACGGCTTAAATATAAGAATTGCTTTTTAAGCTGCCTTTATAATGTTTTTTGTGGCACCTGGGTGGCTCAATCGGTTGAGCATCGACTTCGGTTCAGGTCATGATCTCGCGGTCTGTGAGTTCAAGCCCCACGTCAGGCTCTGGGCTGACAGCTCAGAGCCTGGAGCCTCCCGCCAGTTCTGTGTCCTCTCTCTCTGCCCCTCCCCCACTCACGCTCTGTCTCTGTGTCAAAAATAAATAAACATTAAAAAAAAATTTTAAGCTGCCTTTATACTGTTTTAAAATTGATTTAACTATAGAGGTATTTAGACAAATATGGGGCATGCTCTAACAGTGTGACAGAATAGTACCAGTGAACAAAAGGAGATCTAACGTTAATCTCTATAATAGGCTTCTCTTTGAAAGTTTTCAAAGCAATTATACTATAGTTTCCCTAAAATATAATTTTAAAAATGCATTTTTTTTCCTTCCTGAGCTTCTTCTACTAATAAATTGCTCAGATCTCTTTATAAGAAGTATTTCAGTACCTGGAATGAAGACAGACTAATAAATATTTTTGCTCTACGATGAGACAAAGAGTGAAATTACAGTGCCTTGAAATTACTCCTGAGTCACAGTGTAACTTCTGGAAGCTTCCTGGAAACAGGAGCAATCTGTTGGTTAGCGGCTGACTGTTATCCAGGCTCATACATCAGATCTGGCTGAAGTATCAGAGAGGAAATTTCAGAATCCATGTCTGGGGATACTAGTGTGAATGAGACCAGCAGAAGGAATTTATAATTTTCCATACTTAATAATTGCTACTGACTTAAGAGACCAACCACTTAAGTGGAAAATGTTTAGGGGCACCTGGGTGGCTCAGTCAGTTGTATCTGACTCCTGACTTCAGCTCAGGTCATGATCTTGCGGTTCATGAGTTCAAGCCCCGCATCAGGCTCCGCACTGCTAGTGCTTGGAATTTTCTCTCTCTTCCCCTCTGTCTGCCCCTCCCCTGCTTGTGCGTGTTCTCTCTCTCTCTCTCTCAAAGTAAACAAATAAACTTTTAAAAAAATGGAAAAAGTTTAACGTGCAAAGAAACATACATATTAAAATCAGCTCATTACCGACATATTACCTCCTAGGTTCTATGATATTATTAATTTCAGTGATAACAGCTTCCTGAGAAAATGCTGTTAAATGTACATAAGGATTGCAAGATCTACTCCAATTTTGGAAATATCCTAACTATGAAAAACATTGCATCTCAGAATTAAGGAAATGCAGCGATAAAAACATTTACTGGGAGCCCCCTCCGGGGGAGGCCCTCTGCTCAGAACCATGCCATCTGTCATTCCAGGTGGTGAAGATATGGGGAAGCCTGCACAGGTGGAGGATCTCAGTCGGCTTCCAAGATGGTGTTTGCACGAGGAGCAAGCGCACCGGTCACACACGTTCGGGACTGCGGAAGGGTTCGGAAACACTGGACAGCAGAAGACGCCAAGACAAGACAGCAGCAACACAGCCACAAAAACGACCCAAAGGGAGCATCTTGACCTATGCACATCAAAATGATGCTGCTCGACTCACAGCCACAGCACCGTTCTCCCAAGCCACCCCAGCGCTGAGAGCACTGTGTGACCACACACCTCTCCTGGCTAAGCCCAGAGGCAGGCTGACACTCACGCTCAAGAAATTGGCGGGGCTGCCTCATCTGCAAGGGCAAGTTTGCTCTACGCACAGACAACGCTCTAAACGGACATTGCCTTCCACTGGGGCGGAGACACTGTTGGAAGCCACGTTCCCATCCCGGCCCGCTGATCACGGCAACCACTGCAGTCCAACGACTAAATGCAGTGTGTGTGCACGTCTATGTGAGGTGGCCTTGCTCGCTTTAATGTCCACTGCGGTGTGTCCTAGGCACTGATTCAGATCTCTAATTACAACGTTAAATCATGCATTTATTTACCCTTCCTTGTTTTAACTTAATTTGCCAGAGGTAGAGAAGAAAACTCTCTGGAAATGGTCAATCATGCGTTCATGGGTCCTCCTTCCATGCTCATCAAAAATGGGACATATCCAGATAGCAGTTTATTTTGTTCTTAAAAAATAGTTCTGCGGAAGAAAAGTCAGTATCGGCCACCCATCTGACTCACTAAGACAGAAGAAAAACAGTAAATGCTCACTGAGTACAATGTTAATCTAAATTCATTATGTCATTTCCTCAGTAGAGGAAAACCTGTTTCACAATGTGCTGCTTTCCTAGAAACCGTATCAGTGAGTGACCTGGTCACTGTTAAGTAGACTGTGTGAAAATGAGTTAATGTTCACCTGTCAGATTGACTAATATTAAAAAGATTGATATGTCTAGTGATGGCTACTTACATACTATGGAAGGGAGCCTATATGAAATTGGTCAAAAGCTTTTGGAAAAAGCGACTTGGCAAAATAAAAATTCAAAAGTGCATACTCTTCAACAGCTACACCTCTAGAAAAATACCTTGGGGGAGTATTTCTACATGGCCACAAAAAGAAAGGCCTCAGAAAACTCACTGCCAGAATACTAAAGTAACACTAAAAAATTATAAACAACCTGACGGTCCACTGACTGGGGACTGGTTAAATAAACTAGGGCACATCTATTCTCTGAGATACTATGCAGCAATTAAAAAGGATGAGGTAAAACTACGTGTAACAACATGGAAAGCTCCCTGCCACGCTGGTGCTGTCCCGGAAACAAAAAAGCGAAGTAGAGGAACAGCACATCTAATAATTTTTAAAATCAGGTTAAACACAAAACAAAACATTCTTTTTTTTATATATTTCTCTACGTACTAGACACAATTCAAACCAGGATACTGTCTGTGTTATGTGTAGACGCATTCACAGGACCTAGACGGAGACAGACCAATCACACACAGTGAGTCTCTGAAAGAGCCTCGGGGTGGAGATGTGGTTTTCGATGCTCGTGTTGTCTGCATCTTAATGAGTATGCACTGATGAGTCCTTTGAGTAATTACATCTAAATACCTTTTTTTAAAGTTATGCTTTTATTCACCTGCTTTCATTCTCCTCTTTTTCTGGAGTGTTGGCAAAACACATTGTCTCATCCATAGAGGGCCACGCTGTTTGAGGGCACATTTTTCTCGCCTCGTCTTCTACCCATTCACATACATCTTCTCTTGCACTGCCCCACAGACCTGCCCCCGTGGGCTAGGCAAGGGGAAGCAATACTGGATTTATAATTTTGACAAATAAATACATAACTGGAGTGGTAAGGAATTACTTTATCTGAATATCACGTTACAGGGGCCCCTGGGTGGCTCAGTCGGTAAAGCGTCCGACTCTTGATTTCGGCTCAGGTCGTGATCTCACAGTTCGTGGGAGGAAGCCCCATGTTGGGCTCTGTGCTGACAGCACGGAACCTGCTGGGGATTCTCTTTCTCCTTCTCTCTCTCCCCCTCCCCCTGCTTGTGCTCTCTCTCTTCTCTCTCTCAAAACAAACATGTAAAAATAAATAAATAAATAAATATCGAGTTAGAGAAGTTGATTTTTCTTTTCATCTTAATATTTGTCTATTTTCCCATTACACGATGATCCATATATTAACTATCCAGTTGAGGAAAAGTCTAAACCAGTGATCTCAATAGGGGTGACTTGGCACGCGCATACCCACCCTCAGCACACTTTGCAATGTCTGGGGATATTTTTGGCTGGCCTAACTTGGGGAGTGGCTGCTACTAGCAGCTGGTGGGTAGAGGCCAGGGATGCTGCTAAAATCCCACGATGCACAGGACAGTCCCCACGACAGAAAGCTTATCTGGCCCAAAATGTCAACAGTGCCAAAGTTGAGAAGCCCTAATCGAAATATACCACACATAAGTAACATATCCCTATTTATGTTCCACTTACTTGTTTTGTTTGCTGCTTTGATTATATAACAGGCGGAGGGAGAGCCTGGGCTCTTACCTGGACAATGAACTGGTAGAGCATAACCAGGCTAACCAGCATGGTGATGTTGGCCAACAGAGAGAAGATGGACAGGGCTCGGAGGTTCCTGACAAAAACCAGCAGCACCAGGAAGGGCAGGAAGGTGAGCATGTAGAGTCGGGAGTCCATGGTGGGCGTCAGAATCACAGTCTCATTGTTGTGGCAGTTGTTGGTGGTCCCATTGGCCGCTTCGATCACCTAGAATGAGGGGAAGGAAAGCGACAGAAAAGTCTCTCAAATGACAGAGGCCGGTGGACCTCCCACCCAAAAGGGTTCCTAACTGGGGGCTCAGGAGGAAAACAACGCCATTCAGGAGTCTGTGGCTGGTGAACCATCTTCAGAGATCTTCATAACTGTCATCAGCAACCCAACTGTCTGAGCTGGGTTTGAGCACATCTTATCTAAAGACAGGAGGATAGACAAGGTACCTGGAAGTTTCTCAGTGTCATAGGTCTTTAGACAAAATTACACAAAAGACACCGTTCTACATAATGTGTTAAACTCTTAATTCTTTTGTTGACCAAAACTGGCTTAGAAGGAATCCTAAACTCAAAATCCACTTATCTCTTGCCATTCTCTCTCTCTCTGTCTTTTTTTTTTTAAACCAGGGCCCTACCTGTTTAAAGTTGTCAGCCAGAAAGACAAAGTAGACACAGCAGAACCCCAGCTGCGTGACAATCAGGAAGAAGTCCACCAGGTGCCTGTAGAAGGGGAAGGAAAGAATACAAACATCATGAGAATGAAAAGCAAGAGAGTCCCGGAGACAGAGGTGTTCCAACAGTGCTTCTTCCCAGGCCGTCACAGCCCCTTCCCACCAGGTGACAAGGATGAGGGTGCCCTGACAAAAGGAGAAACCGTGCAAGGTGCCACCAGTCTGGAGCTTTGGAGGAGGGTGAAGACGACGCTGAGGTCCCCTTCCTCTGTCTTCTCTAGAATGCTGCGTGGGGTCGGGTGATCCCGAGATCAGAATGGCTAGAGTGGAGCACACACCCCAGGACCAATGACCAGCCCTTGGCCTCCCCCTCCCCGCGGCCTGCCTATCCTGTCTCACACTGTTTGTTCTAAAGCTACAGGGAGCGCTCAGCATAAAAGCCCAGGAGGTGGAGCCCTTTACGCTCGCTTTCTATAATATGGATCTAAGAAACAGCCTACTTTCACATAAGTACACAGAAACAGATGTACCAAAACAGACAACTGACGGAAGCCCTGAACAATAGCTGGCAACAACCTAAAAGATCATCAAAAGGAAAATGAGTAAATGCAAGACCATTCTTAAATGGAGAGGTATAAAAAAAAAACGTTGAAAAAAAAAAAAATAAAATAAATGGAGAGGTATACAGCAGGGAAAAAGAGTATGTTAAATCTATATGTGCTGATAGAGGTAGGTCCAGGACCTTTAACTGAAAAAACAAACAAACAAACAAAGAAAAAAACAGCTTCCAAATAGTACTTATAGTACTGTCAATTTGTGTAAAAAATGTTAAGAACATGTGTATGTTTGTATACGTACAGAAAATGCCAGAAGTCTACCCAAGCAAGTGTAACCAATAGATACTTTTATTTTTCACTTTATGAACGTGTATCTTGCTCAAAAAAAAAAAAAAAATTTACCATGAACAGACATTAATTTCATTAAAGAAAGGAAGGGAGGAAATAAGGAAGGAGGGAGGAGAAATGGGGAGAGAGAGAGAGAAAGAGAAACAGAGAGAGAGGAGAGGAGAGAGAAAAAAGGAGGGAAGGGGGCGGGGAGAAACAATCAACCAACTACCAGCCAACCAAATAACCAATGGTGGCCCCTTGGCACGATGGCTTCTCCCAGTCACAAAAAATGATTCTGCTAAAAGAATCGCAAAATAAACCTGTATCACAGGAGGAAGCTATGTGTGAAACTATAAAACCTCCCTATGAACACAAAAAGGGAGTTTTCCTGGAGAACATAGATTTAATGCAGTTCCATTTAAAAAGAATTTAAAGGATTCAGCCTTTGATGTCAACTCTCTACTTCTAAATATACCATTTCCTCAAACAGGAAACAAAAATTAGAATATTTCTCTCCCGGCATCTGGAAACTTACCCTAAGGAGAAATTTCCAAACACTCCCCGCCCCCCTCCCCCCTTGAAATGTCTCTTTCCCCAACAAACCCATTTGTTCTAGCTCAGCTCATCTCTTCCTTAACGCCTTCCTTCTCCTGCCCGGTGCCCTGCCCTTAAAGCACCTATCATGTGCACTTTGCATCTGGCACAGGTAACCATCCTTAAATCTCCTCCCCGTCTGAGCCCCTAGGGTGCGCTTCTAGCTTCTGACACTGTTTCTACAGGTATAGACTATTCCTGATCTCTTGTCCTTGAGCCTTCCACATACCCTTCTCCTTACAGAGACTACAAGTCCGCAAAGGGCCAGGACCACACTATTCACCCCAGGGGGACCCCCTCCCTGTATCGAGAATTATTCTGCATGACTTATAAGAGAGTGCTTAAATATCTTTACTGAACAAATGAGTGAATAAAAAATAATCACTGGTCATAGACTGCCAAAGCTGGGAACAGCCAGGTTGGCCAATAAGGAAACTGAGGACCAGAGAAGAAAGGGGTCACACAGCCAAGGTCACCAGATGACTGCAGGCAGAGCTGAGCTAGGAGCCAAATCCACTGACCCAAACAATGTTCTTTCCACTGCTTATACCGTGTGCCGCGCCCCACCTCCCTGTCGGAGGGCCTCCACTCTGCGAGGCCACAGCTGCAACAAAGGAGGGAAGTGGTTACCTTCCCCAGTGCGCGTGGTTCCGGAGCCAGGAGCTGGGGCTGGATTCCAGTCCGTACATCACTGTGTCCCCATAGTCCACAAAGGGCTTGTTCAGTCTGGGAGGAGAGGGAGAGAGGGAAGGCAGAGTGTGTGGGTTCAACAAAGTGACAGAACACAGGTAGCTCCCTGAGACCTGGGCCAGTTCCCCACCTGTCACCCTGGAGAAACTACTGAGTCCTGCGTCTAATGCTTTCAAGGATCAGAAGTGTTAAATCAACAGGTCAGTTACTTCCATATAATTACCGACCATCTGGCAGAACCATTTCAGTGGGGTAAATACTACAAAGCACATAAAATGAGAATGCAGTCTCTGTCCACTGGACACAAGCAAATACAACAGATGACAACAAACTGAAAAAGAACACAAAAATAACCAGGGGAAGGGAGTTCTGCAATAATCAGCAGCCACCTGCAGCTAGCGCAGAGAATTTAGAGTGGCCTAAGTCCTCTCTTTCAGCGCGGCTAACAGAATCCCAAAGGACAACCTGGCATATCAGAGCGCTCACCTGCGGCAGAAGTGGTGAGCACATTTCACCAGGATACCCATGCAGTGCACAGCCACGATGCCTATCACCAGCAGGCTGAGGGGACCCATCTGGGGACAGGTGTTGCGGGCAAGAGAGAGAGAGACAAGCAGGTAGAATTAGGAGTGAACCCAATGGAGAGTGGATTTGCAAATGATCAAAACACTACTAAGGCACCTTCCAGTGACAGAACATCTGGCACAACATTCGAGATAGGAATGTGATCGTGGGGGTTAGCTCAGGGAGAAGGGCATGATCTGAACCTTAGCATGCTTTCAAAAGAGTTAACCTCATGGAGAAGAATGACACAGCACAAGGCTGTTCCAAAACAGCTTCAATTCAGCCGAACAGAAGGCTCCTATGTTCTGGGAAGAAGAGACAGGCAAGGGGTGGAGGGAAGGGGAAAGGTCTCGTTAGGGCAACGCCAGATCAGGAAAAGATGCCCTTAGCTAAGGGCAATCCACATCTCTGAGCTAGCTCCAACTCTAAGAGAAACCAAATGGCTTTAGATTGCAGTCTGTAGGGGATGAATCATAACAGAAAAAGTAAAATTCTCAGAGTTGGCCTCCTAGGAGTGGGACGTGGAAGGACCGTGGAAGAAACCAACAGATTTCTGTTACGAGTCCATTACTTAATATTATTGACAGAAACTCCCTGAGACATTTTAAGTACTCCTCCTCACCCCAGAGTAAGCTACATGAGGGCAAGAATCTCTCTTTTTTATTCACTGATAACGCTCAGAACCCAGAACAATGTCAAGCACACACAAGGCCCTAAATAAATATGTTTAAGTGAACGAACACCTGAATTTTGCTTTTTCTCAGCTGAATTAAAGAGAAAAGCTTTTCATTTTTAAGTGTTTTAAATGAAGCAAATTTAAAAAAACACACACACCATCTCCTAAAATTTGTCATGATACTCCCCCTGCCAATGCAGATCCTTACCAAGATGCCTGCATTCTTCACTGCCAGAGGCAGCCCCAGGAGGCCGGTGCCAATGTTGCCTTTTAGCAAGTGGACCAAAGTCTGGAACCATCTGAAGTGGAAAGAAGGTAGACAAGGGCATGTTAACAATAATGACAGCTAACATTTACTAAGCATGTAGCCCTGTGCTAAACACTTTCATGCATTATCTCATTCAATGTCTACAACAACCCTATGAGATAGATGTTAACTTTGTTTTATGGATGAGGAAGACACTTGCTCAAGGTCATATACCTAATAAAGAGTTCAGCCAGGATTCAAACCCAGGCAGTCTGACCCGCGAGCCCTCCCTTGCCTCTGTGCTATGAGCTCCATTCCCTGTGGGATCTCCAAGAACCCCATCTCTATGGCACATTAGACCAGAGGGACACCACGGCTCTCTGTAGATGCTTTATCTTTTCCTAGTGGGTCTGGTGTGGGTTTCACCATAACTGCCCACTACAGAGACTCGTATCCAAAACCACAATGGAGGATGACAAGCATTCAGTGTGAAGGACAAGACACTGGTGTAAGAGAAAAACGAGGGACGTAAAAAACAGAAGCCCAGAACCCTTAAAAGAAAACTGTATGCAAAGTGAACAGAGCAAAAGGAATATGGTACCACTAACAGCCAGTCCCTGGAATACTTTGTATTTAAAATTAAAAGTCGATGGGAATGCAAGCTCTGGAAAACAGTATGGAGGTTCCTCAAAAAACTAAAAAGAGAACTACCCTACGACCCAGCAATTGCACTACTAGGCATTTATCCACAGGATACAGGTGTGCTGTTTCGAAGGGACACATGCACCCCCATGTTTATAGCAGCACTCTCAACAATAGCCAAAATATGGAAAGAGCCCAAATGTCCATCAATGGATGAATGGATAAAGAAGATGTGGTATATATATATACAATGGAATGTCACTTGGCAATCAAAAAGAATGAAATCTTACCATTTGCAACTACGTGGATGGAACTGGAGGGTATTATGCGAAGTGAAATTAGTCAGAGAAAGACAAGTATCATATGACTTCACTCATATGAGGACTTTAAGAGACAAAACAGATGAACATAAGGGAAGGGAAACAAAAATAATATAAAAACAGGGAGGGGGACAAAACATAAGAGACTCACAAATATGGAGAACAAACTGAGGGGTACTGGAGGGGCTGTGGGAGGGGTGATGGGCTAAATGGGTTAAGGGGCACTAAGGAATCCACTCCTGCAATCATTGCTGCACTCTATGCTAACTAATTGGGATGCAAATTATAAAAAAATTAAAATAAAAGAATCTGCATTTTCAAAAATAAATAAATAAATAATAAAACTAAAAGTCGGATTGGAGAAGCCCTCTTCAAACGTCACCTAGTTCATCATTCTGCCTTGAGGACAGATTTCCCCCTCACCTATTATAGACTGTCCATCTCACACTGTGATTATAAAGCCTATCCCACACCCTCATTCATTTTTTCACCCAGCAAATACCATCTGTTCTGTGTAAAACATTGTGCTCATACTGTGGTAGAAAGAAGTATGAATCAGATACGGACCTGGACCTCGGTCTCTAGAAATTAATAATGTTTCAATGAAAAAATAAGGCAGATACATTAATAACCACCCAGGTAGAGAGATGCCTTCTTAAGATGTGCCCGGGAACAGTGTTCAGGGAGGGGGAGGCAGGTGAGGGTCCCAGAGTGGAGATCTGAGCTGAGTCCGGAAGGACAGGCAGAGCTTACAAGGGTGCCCCTGGGGAAGAAAGGCCTGGAAATACAAAGCTAGAGAGAGACAGGGGCATCAGCACAGAGGAGTGTGTTTCCTCAAGGACTGATAGCAGAGGAATGTCCTCATCTGCCATATTTTCTATCCCGCTACCTCCAGAAGGATACAAAACAGGTCAAACATAGCCATCGCTTTGCCCCCAATACATAGACTCACTCAGGATTTGGCCTCTGGCACCATCTGGAAATTCTTCCGCACAAATACCCTAAATCCCTCCTAAATGATGTTTCCATATATTTCTTCAAATCAGCAATTCAGAAGAAACCAAAAGCAAATAACATATGTTCACTCGTAAAGACCATAATAAATATGACCTATCTCTACTCTCTGGAATGGAATTTTACTTTTGGTAAACTTTTTCCTTCTACCTCTAGGAAGAAGACCTCTCGACCTGCCTACTGTCCCCAAGTTTTTCAGGAAAGATCAAGAAAATGTCTTTGAATCTAAATGAGAAGAGGCTGAGCACTCTCCTGGACTATCCTGAGGAAACAGCCTAAGGACCACACGAGTACAGGGGTGACTGCTTAATTATCAGCAGCCAGGGACCAGAAGATTATAAGCAGGATGATAAGCGAAGCAAATGTCTACCTTAGCAAATGTTTAATCCACTCAAGGCAAAGGTAAGCATTGTAGCAGACCCACCTGCCTACCAGAGGCCTCCCCAAAATGCCTCTGAGCTGGGTTTTGTGGGAGACCAGGTCCCTATTAGCCCCGGTTCTGCCAGTAACTCTATACAATTCCCTTCCCTTGTCTGGACCTTAGTCTCAGCTGTAGAGTGAGGGGACTGGATAGGACAGCATCCTTTCCAAGGTCTCTTTAGCTCCGAAACACCAAGATTCTAAGCAACTGGCCAACATTACTCTCTTTAATCAATGGCCCCAAGCTGAGATTACCCAAAACCATGAGTATCACAAAATCAACTCCATGGACTGCAAAGTCTTAACTATGGGGAGTACAGGGAGGAAACCTGGCAAATCTCTGTAGTTCAGTTTTTGTTCCAGATCAGTAGTTCTTACACTTTTTGGTCTCAGGAACCCTATATATACTTATAAAGTATTAAGGATACCAAATAGCTTTTGATTATATGGATTATGTCTGCTGATATATATTACAAATTAAAATTGGGAAATTTTAAAATATGTATTGATTAATTAATTAAAATAACATGTTAATAAAATAAGTAAATTCTATTTTAAATTAATTTACTTAAAATTAAATTAATTTAAAAATAAAATTATATGTTAATATAAATAACAGATTTTTAAATTTCTTTTTTCTTTTCTTTTTTTTATTTGAGGGAGAGAGAGAGTGTGTGCAAGCAGAAGGGCAGAGGTAGAGGGAGGGAGAGAATCAAACAGGTTCTACGCTTAGCATGGAGCCCAACTGGAGGCTCCGTCCCATGACCATGAGATCAAGACCTGAGCTGAAAGCAACTTAACCAACTAAGGCACCCAGGCGTCGCTATAAATAACAGATTTTTTTTTAATGAAAAGTAATTCTATTTTCCAAAACGAAGACTGGTACTAATTTACGGTTTTTTTTGCAAACTTCTTTAATGTGTTGCTTGATAGCTTCACTATCTACTTCTGCATTAAATCTGTTGTGATATGTTGTTTTGGTTGAAGTACACGAAGAAAATTTGTCCTCACAAAGACATGCAGTTGGAATGTGTTTTAGTAATCTCTTTAGACGATTATGGTAGTTCTCCTTTGATACTTGACATGTAGTTGTTTCTTAGAAGTTAGTTACAACATGGAGTCTGGCCTTTTCAATATCATATCAGATCAAAAATCTACTGGTGATCTTGCCCTTTGCATGAATCTTTCACCCACGCGCAATTTTCTAATATCAGGCTGGCCATTTGGAAGATACTGGTTCCCTGAGTTATGCAGATCTTCCAAGCACTGGCACATTTCACTACACAATATCAGAAAAACTCACATTTATTAATATCACTGAAGTTTTTTTTTTTTTTTTTTTTTTTTTTTTTTTTTTTAAGGGAGAGAGCGAGCACAAGTTGGGGAGAGGTGCAGAGGGGGAGAGAGAATCTTAAGCAGGCTCCACACTCAGCATGGAGCCTCACATGGGGATCAATCATACGACCCTGGGATCATCAACTGAGCCGAAATCAAGAGTCAGATGCTCAACCAACTGAGCCACCCAGGCACCCTACTAGCCTTTAAGTAGAGGGAAGCTGTCAAGGTCAGTGTTGGATACCAGGTTTTTTTCTAGTTTTGCTTGAAAACTTAAATTTTATTGTGGACCACAAATACCATTGTTTTTCATGAGGTTATGGTCTCATTATTTTCATTTTCAAGAAAATGTTTGCCAAGTCCTCAGGCCTGAATAACCTACAGCTTGTAGTTCAGAGGTAGTTGAGTTCAGTAACTCAATCACTCAAGGTCTTGTCCTTGAGACAGGTGTCATACTTTGGTATGCAATAGAGGTATTTCACATGTACTTCCCATTTTGTCACGCAGATTATTAAACCTGCACTGAAGGATTAAGTGATAAAATGAGTAATTTGACTGCTTCATCAAGGACCTGCTTACGTGAAACTGGCTTATTCTTTGTACACGTGTGGCAGAGAAAAATACGATGACTGGCATAAGTTGGTAGTATTGCCTTGATTTATGCTAACGCACCAGCAATTTTACCCGCTACTGCTGCTGAACCATCAGTGTAAATGCCAACACAGTGAAAAGGCATATAACATGTTAGCATTATTATGAAAATAGTTTCAGTCTCACAGACTTCTTGAAATGGTCTTGGGAACCCCAAAGAATCACACTTTGCAAACAGCTGTTCTAGATAACCTAGAGCAGTCAACTGGTTTCTCAGCCTGCCGGCCTGGGGGAAAAGGACCCAAACTCAACCAACAGCTGGCATAATGTAACTCAACAGGGCAACAAGAAGAAAAATGCCCAACAGAGTAAAATGAGGCTGTTGTCAAAGCAGTCAACGGCTTGGCAACACCAAGTGTTAGGAAATAAACTCACTAAACACACCATTATGGAAGTGTCTGGGGTTCCGATCTGCACCCCTGATTAGGGATTTTTCTTGAGCCCTTAACCCTTAGAAGAGCCAGGTATATGCAAGCATGTACTTTATTCCTTGCGTTTTGTTCCTTGTACTTTGTTCCATGTTCTTTGCTCCTGGACAAAGCAGATAACAGGGTGGGGCAAGGCACAGTAGACAAGGACTCCAGCTCAAGAGCTTGTCTCTAACACCCTGATATGTGAGAGATCCACCTGAGCTAATGAGGTCTCCTGAATCAGCTTATATCTTAATGACACCTGGCATGCTTTCTACACCTAAATGCTCAGGTGGATCCAGCCTGAGTAACCAACTGGTTACTCAACCAACCCTCCCAGTCCCAAGGGAGTACTTTTCCCTCTCCCACTTGTGATACTGGACATCACTTGCAGATGCGCATTCCTGGTCACCTACCCTATAGCACAGTATCAGGGCAGGATAGGCCCTCACAACAAAGTATACCCAGGAAAACATCCCAGTACAAGCCCAAGGAAGGTATCTCCTGATTTTCTCAATTTCTAACAAGCAAGGAGAAATAGTTTTGGGTTGATACTAGTTATAACGCAATGTGAAAAAAAAAGATATTCAGAATAGCTAACGGGCACACATAACTTTCAATACATACAAAACTTGTAAGCTACCATCCTGAAGTTGCTAGTGGTTGGTTTTGAACTTCAGGGAGGTCCCTTTAAAAATGAAATCTAGACCCCATATGACAAGCATTACACAGACAAGCTGATGCCTGATAACAAGAGCAAAAACTGGAAGAGAAACTATAGAGAGAGAAGCTTGGAAAAACAATTGCACAACGGCGTATGACTTCTGAAGGGAAGCTATCACATGTCAATGGCTGCATTTGGAGCTCCTTCTGCCTGGGGGGAAGCCAGCTGGGAGGATAGGTTAAGGAAAAGAGGGCAGGGATGGTCCTCACTGCCGCCAGTTGTTCTCTGCACAATCTTTCCCATCAGCTAGCACTGCAAGGAAATGGGGGAATCTACAAAAGCATGCCACATGAGACATAAGCTATAGAGACTGAATCTTTAGGAGCAGAAATCACCTAGTGGTAATGTGGACAGACCATATCTTCTGGTTCTATCCCAAGAGAAAATGCCCTGCCCCAGGAGAGCCTGCAGCCAAAGGGAGCTTCACCAGTAATGACCTCCAAGAGAAGCTTCAAGAGCCTCCTTGGGCAGTCACATGGGACAAGTCTAGCACATAAAGGATCCCTCAGTTAAGTCACACCCAACCCACAAAGGAACACAGAAAGGGTAACAGCTAAGCTTGAGGAATAAACAGAAGGGGTCAAAAAAGATGGAGAAAACATACTTGAGGTTCAGGACTGAGTATGAAAACTCAGTGGGGTAGAAAACCCTCTTCTGAACCTTCTAATTCAAGTGGGTAAGCACCAGACAGTCAGCATACCTTCACAGTGGGGTCCTCAACTTTCTCTTACATTTGGAGAAACTGAGGCCCAGAGAGGGCACTCAGATGAGCCTTGGGATTCAGTTTCCAGGAATAAAACTCAAGCCCTCCCTAGGCAATGCAAAGCAGACCTCCTTTCCTCAACCTCTTGAATTTTTCAAATGCAGGAGAAATTATTCCTTCCTCCCTCTTACCACTTCTTCAACCAAATGAACTGGCTGTTTCATGATGGGGACAGAAGTCTGGGCAAGACTCTGCAAAGGAAGCTTCCAATTGAGCCTAGAGGTATTTGAGGTTCTAAGACAGATGACCCATGCTTCTGAATTAAGAGAACGTTCTCTCTAGAAGTTTCTCTTACATTCAGCACCAGCGTTTGGGGACCAACGCAGCTGAAAGGAGCAAAGAATATAAAACAGATGGGAAGGTGGCTGGCAAGGAACTCAAATCTCAGCACTGTTACTCACCCAGTCTCTTTATATCTTCCTTCCATCTGTAAAGTGGGGAACTGATAAAAATGGGGGGACAAAAATACCTCTAAGGGAGACTACATTATGAATACAGAATGTAGAAACATGAATCCCACCCAGGAGGGTAAAGAAACTTACGTTGTGCTGTTGCTTTCCCCAAACCGCTGGTAAGAGCCAGGGGAAGAGAAGTTGTTTAGGCCTTCGGATGGGCTCTCCTCTGGGCTCACGTCCGTGGAGCTGTAGTCATTGTAATCCTCGTTCCGAAGTCTCTGCGTGGACATGGTAGCTGGAGGGACAGGGTCAGCGCTAAGACCTCCAGAGGCCGGGGCCTTTAGCTCCAAGCCTGTGGTGGGCTCTGGGGCAGGAGCAGCCATGGTCACAACAGCTCAGTGACAGCTGCTCTATGAATTAAGTACAGTGACAGTGCCTGATACCAAGGGAAATGGAAAAAGTGCAAAGTACACATGGGCGGGCTGAGCTCACTCAGCTTCTGTCTCCCAACCTTTCCAGTTAGTGCCCCACTCATAAATTTCTAAATTTGCCACCGCATACCTGGACAGAGCAAAGGTGAGGCACTGCCCGGGATGGGTGGGTAAGATGCAGACAGGTGCTTCCAGGAAGCCTTCCCCGTTCCTTAGGTTGGGAGTAACTATCCCCTCCTTTGAGCTAATTTCTTTGAACCTTGAACAACAGTTATATGGTATCTCTGCCCATCTTCCCCAGGAGCAAGCTCTCAGAGGATGGGAACCTGAATATCCCTCACTGCATCTTATTTTTCTTCTGCGTGCATTAGAAAAAGGACTCTGTTGCATTCAAGGAACCCCCTCCAAATCATCCAAGCCTGCTCAGATTCCCCACCAGGTTCCAGAGCCACAGCTGACTTCCTCTCCCTCTCCACCATGCCCTCTGGCCCGGCCTGTACTTTTTGGAGGTCACCGGTGACCCCCATCCCCTTTTCTTGCAACCAGCCTGAAATGCAAGCAGCTCAGAGGAAGAGCAGGAGCATGAGAGGGCTCTCCATTGGCCCTCATCTCAAGACCTTCCCTCCACAACTCCCCTTGTTTTTATTGTTACGGATTTGCCAACGTTTTAAAGATGGTGAAAGAAAAAACCCTTTGTGTTGTGTGTTGGGGAAAGATGGCGAGGGTATCGTCCCCAGGGTGGATTTTCTCAGTAATGCTACTACAGAAAAGAGAAAGAACAACGACTCCTCTGAGCTACACCAGAAGGATACATTTGGGCAGTGCCGGAAGCCTCCAGAATCCTAGGCGCTACACTAAAAGAGCCCTCAGAGGTCGCTCCACAAACTGTGCATTTGACAGATGCAGAATCAATCCCAGAACGATGAAGGAACCTGTCTGCTACAGCCAGGTAGCAGCAGAGCAGGAAACGTATATTGTGCTGCCCTGCCCGAACCTGGAAACATCTACTGAATGCACTGCCACTGGCAATGAGGGAATATTACAATGAAAGGAAGCCAACTTCCTGCCCTCCAAGAATCTGCAATCGAGTGAGGAAAGGAAGGTACACGTACATTGAAGATTACAAATAAAAATCCTTCTGACACTGGCAGACTGGCATACCTGCCTCCCTGTGAGTGGGCTCTTCCCCAGCCTAAGCCCCGGAGCCTGACGTGCTGTCTCAGATACCTGGTAAGGAGACAGGAATGACGGGCATCACGATACCATCTTGCCTAGCCCCCAACACTAGCTGCCAGAGGACAGCTCTGTGCTGAGTGTTCCCACAGGTCAAGTCCCAGGGGACTCTTTGGAAACTGGCCCTACTCTGGCACCTAAGAGATCCAGGGTGATCTCATTTTCTCCCAAGTGTAATGGAGAGAGGACCCACATAACCCCACAAGGAAAGCGCCTGGCAGAAAGCCAGTAAGGGCTGTGGAAGTCTCCCAGAGGATCCTGCCCAGCTTCACCACTAGGGCGACTTTGTTAAATACCTAAGAGGGCATCATTTACTCACAAGCCAGAGGGATTCAAAGAAGTCTTCTAGTTCTAGGGCAATTAAACTCATAAGAGGATCAGGGGGAGAAAATCTGTAAAATATCTTAACATGACAGTTGAAAGCTGCTATTTAGGCAAGAGCTAATAGGTGAGGTTCTATGTATGGCAGAAGGCCTGGGTTCTAAGCCTGCCTCTCTCGCCAGTTTCCTTACTAACTTGGAACAATTCTTTTATCCCAAATGTGCAGAAAGGGGTAGAGGGCAGTGAACTGAAAGATCTGTCAGCTTCTCTCTAGCTCCAGTATCCCCAAAATCAACTAATTATTTATGCAAACAGAAGAGAATTTCTTTTCCAACATACCAAGTGTCTGAGGAATAGAGCCATCCAGGTGACTCATGCATATTACTGAGGGAGAAGGGACAGAATACGGGGACTGACAAATCCCCCTACTCCTCCCCAACAACCAGGAAACTACTCTATTGATTACTTGGCACAGATGCTCAATTTATTTCAAATACTGCAAAGAGGTGTCTTTATGTTGTATATAAAAACTGAAGTTACCCACAGCACAATATTGGTAAGAAACTGCTCAAAAAAAGAAGCTGAAATCTATAGATCTGAAGTCTGAGAAACAACCACAGCACGTGGGAGATGTGGCTTGGCCACTGCATGCATGCTGAAAAGAAAAAATTAACACTATTTACGGGTTTTAGCTGATGATCAGCTCAACAGAAGTCAACGATTTAATAACAGATGCCAAATAAGCTAATTCTAGGTTGCACTAGGATGAGAGAGAACCCCCGGTAGTCGACAGCACTGTTTTTGCCACACACGATATTCTGTTCCAGGCAGTACACTATAAACAATGCTAAACTGTGGTATAGTGAGGGCTCACCACCAACAGGAGGAGGGAGTGGAAAACACCTAAATGAGGAACGACTAGAAGCAATGAGAAAGTTCAACCTGGAGAACTAGCAACTTGGGAGGTATAAAAACTGCTTCCAAAAGCTGTCCTATGGGTAACACTTGTCCTGTGGGACCTCAAAGATGAGTCAGAAAGAGGGTCAGGAGGTGGGAAGTAGAGGGAGGCAGGCCTGTGGCTAGACGTAAGGAAGAGCCTTTATCAGAAGGAGTTGTCCAATGGAACAGACCGCTCTGGGAGACAATGTGTTCCCCACCCCTGGGACAGTCCAAGCAGAAGACCTTTCTCACTCAGAGCGGTGAAGGAGGGGTCCAAGCGCTCTAGAGGGTGCGGGCAATCACTCCTCGGAGTTCCTTCTATCGCTCTTTCTGGCCATCAAGGCAGCCTCCTCTTGCTCTCTAGCTGTCCACACTGAGTGCTAGCCTCCAAGGCCACCCTGCCTCTGGGCTCCCTTTGATGAAACCTGGTTTCCAAGTCTATTGTGCAATTGAGATTTCTGCCCTGTGGGAGATTTTAATAGCACCTGTTAACTGTTTAAATGAGGGGCAAAATATGTGAGAATTCAAGACAAGCTTGTCCTTTATTTTAGGCTCTCGAGGACAAAGAAGAGAGTTTATACATTATATGTGGCCCATCAACACAAACTCAAAATCTTCATTAGATACCTATACGCAAAAGGGTGAACACTACAAAGTAAGAAAAGTCTACACGTGCGGTGGGAAAAAATTTTTTTCTTTAAATATACATTCAACCAAAATTGCAGTGAAATATCAACTATCTGTATAATCTTAATAAATTTTACTTTTTTTTCCTTACATAAACTATTTTTTAGTTAGCAATATTCTCATTATTTGAAGGTTTTCCCCCACTTATTTCATATCTACTATTCCCTGAATCCGTAAAGTACACACACTAATGATGTGTAGTTGCAATATAAGAGTCCATCATTACATTGATATAATAATTTGCTTCGCTAGCTCCCAACTGTTGGATATGAAGCTTATGCTTTCTTTCTTTTTTAAATCTCTTCCATCACATCTAATAGGAATTCATACACATAGTTTTTTTTAATTTTGGAGATACGCTTTTGGAGTAAAACTAGGTGAATACACTCATTTTTATGGTCCTTGCCACACAAATGATTGAACTAACCTATAGTGTCACTAGGAATATGACTGTCCTTCATAACTCTGCCAATGTTGGCTTTTATCATTTTTGTTCTTTTAAATGGATGGGTGGTCCCTTGTACTTGTTTTATTTTACATTTCTCTGATTTCCAGAAAAATAAAAACTGAGCATCTTTCATCCACCTATCGGCCTCATAGTAAGTCACTTTTGAAAATATGAAAATGTTCTCAAAATAACCAAATAAGAGTTTACTGGTTGGTTTCTATTCCAAATTCAGTACAATAAACAAGGCCAATTCCAACAAAGGAAGGAGAGTCCACCTATACATATTTATAGCTCTTCTTTGGGGCCTATGGGAAGGTAGGGGAGGGAAAAAAAGGAATGAAGGGACGGAGAGACAGTACTAAAGTGTTATTTATTTAGCTTCATTATCAAAAACTGAACAATACCTTTATGGGTGCCTTGTAAACACATAAAAATTATCCACTAAAAACTAGGACAATTAATAAGTTCAGCAAATTTGCAGGATACAAGGTCAATATACAAGCACTAGTTGTATTTCTATGCAATTGCAAGGAACAATCTGAAAATTAAGTTGAGAAAACAGTTCCGTTTACAATAGCATCAAAAAGAATAAAATTCTTAGGAATGAATTTAAACCAAGTAGGTATAAGGGTTGTACATGAGAACTATAAAATATTGTTGAAAGAAGTTAAAGGCCTAAAAAATTGAAAAAACATCCCAATGTTTATGGTTTAGAAGATTCAATGTTGTTAATATGGCAATATTTCCTAAACCGATCTGCAGATTCAGTGAAGTCCCTATCAAAATCCTAGTTGCCTTTCTGCAGAAATTGACAAGCTGATTCTAAAATTCGTATGGAAATCCAAAAGGCTCAGATTAGCCAAAACAATTTTGAAAAAGAAGAACAAAGTTGGAGGACTTCCCAATTTCAAAACTCAGTACAAAGCTACAGTAATCAAGACAATATGGTACTGGCATAAGGATAGACATACAGATCAATGGAACAGAACTGAGAGTCCAGAAAGGAACCTTCACATCTATGGTCAATTGATTTTTGACAGGGTGCCAAGATAAGTCAATGGAGAAAGAATCATCTTTTCAACAAATCGTGCTGGGACTACTGGATATCCACACTGGAACTCTACCTCACACCCTACGTACAAATTAACTCAAAATGGATCAAAGACCTAAACACAGGAGTGAATACTATAAAACTCTTAGAAGAAAACATAAGTGTAAATCTTCATGACCT